TTAGTTTTGGTCTTGAGAAGTCTGGTAAAATGTATTGCACCATGTACAAGAGCAGTGAAGTCTTTTGGGGCATTGTTATTGAGTGTGAGTTAGTGCTAGGAGGTCTCAGAGGTTAAAAAAAAGAGAACATCAGTTTGAAAACCCTAAGTCTTGAAAAGCCCCCTTCTCAGCCGTTTTTTACTTCAACTTTCATCCCATTTCTCTTCCTGTCTCACTCTCTCATTCATATTTGTTTAATATTCCTTCAGAGTTAATATGTTCATAGAATGGTTTGGGTTGGAAAGGACCTTAAGATCATCCAGTTCCAACCTCCTGCCATGGGCAGGGACACCTCACACTAAACCATGGCACCCAAGGCTCTGTCCAACCTGGCCTTGAACACTGCCAGGTATGGAGCATTCACAGCTTCCCTGGGCAACCCATTCCAGTGCCTCACCACCCTCACAGTAAAGAACTTCTTCCTTATATCCAAACCGAACTTCTCCCGTTTAAGTCTGAACCCATTTCCCCTTGTTCTGTCACTACAGTCCCTGGTGAAGAGCCCCTCTCCAGGATCCATGTAGCCCCATTCAGACACTAGAAGCTGCTCTGAGGTCTCCACGCAGCTTCTCTTCTCCAGGCTGAACAGCCCCAACTTTCTCATATCATAGGATGAGTAGTTACTCATTTAAATGCTACATTGCAAACTAATAACTACCAACAGGAGCGGTGGTACTTTTTAGCCAGGGAGGGTCAGAAGAGATTCCCATGACAACAGGGAAATGATGGATACGAAGGCTGGTTTCTCAAAATTGAAGGCCAGTTTGACAGGCCATGGTTCTGGTGATTTGGATGAGTAAAAATATAAGAAGTATTCCTCTGAAATAAGAGCCAGGTTTTTCTGCTGTTTTTAACCTGAACTTTATGGTTCTCTGAGAGCCATTTGCATACAGACATACTTGTTTGCCTTTTTTCCCATCTGGAATTAAGTACTTTCAAACAGGAAAGTTATTTTCCTACTGAATATTTTCCTCCATTTTAAAGAGGTTTTTCTTTCCCCCTTCTAGAAGTAACAAACTTGTTCAGTTCTGAATATTAACATCTACTAACATCATTGCTGAATGAAATTAAAGCCATCGAACTAGATTCAGGTGGAACTGTACCAAGATCAATACATCCACACTTCAGGAAAGGCTTTGATGAGCTCATGTTTAGGCATCATTGAAGACACTGGCAAATCACCTGAAGAGTTGGCTGCTACCATTTTATGGTATAAACATGTTAAATATTGCAGGGCATGTTGTTTTAAAGTAAGGTTTCCAACTCTGTAAAGTGATGTTTTTACTATTGCTAGAGAGCAACATTGCCTGAATTTCATCACCTTTGACATTACTAATAAAGCACAGTGTGTATCATTAAGAGCAAAATCACCTTTTATCTTTCACTTTTGTACAGTTGCTAATACTTACATGCATTAGAAGTTATCAGAAGTCTCTGTGGACTTAATTACTGGGAAGGGAACTTTGCATATTAAGCTGAATAGTTTTCAATATGAAAATACTGCTTGAAACTCTTGTGCTACAGCATGAAAAGCCCTCTAGTCTCTCATTTTGCTCCTTAATGGAGGATCAAACACTATCTGTTTACTTGTTCCAGGAACAAATGCAAGCAATGGCAGCAAAAATGTCCTTTACATAATTCTAATTATTGAAAAAAAAAACATTATTTAATTCCTAATATTTAAAATCTATCCACTGAATCCATAATTGAGTGCTAGGAGGAATCTAGCTGTTGTTTATGGGAGCAGCTCTTCAGCTGGCATGAATAGGTGTAGTTTTATTGTCAACTAAATTACCTCAGCTGTAAGTGGTTCCAGAAGTGGTGTTAAAATACCAGAGTACCCAGAAAATGCTACAGCTTTGAGCACGTTTATTCTCTAATTGGAAAAATACCATGAAGTCTTGGCCCTGCTGAATCCAGGAGTCAAATCTCGTGCGTGCTCACCAGTGTTAGATTGGCACTTTTGCTGTCCATTTAAATTGCAGAGTTAGCAGCAGCAGGTTTCTTGCAGTGCTCCCTGAGAGCCTCTGAGTGGGTTTAGTGCATCCATGGGGCTTGGTGATGGGGATGTCCCTGCTCCACCAGGAGCAGTTTGTGTGTGCAGCCCTTACCTGGCCATGAGGCAGAGCTTTGGTTGTGTCTGGCTGTGCTGCAGCTCTGTTTGAGGGAGAGCACTCCTCTCTGCAGGTGACTTTGCCGCTCGTGCTGTGTTGTACAATCTTCATCTATCCAAATCAGTGATGCAAGGCACCTACAGCAAGGCTGCAGGAGAATACTGTAGCTAAAAATAATGATCATCTCTCTCCACCACAGCTTCTTTTCAGTTGTTGTTTACACCAGATAAGCTGCCAGTTGTGATTTAACTGCAGTTTCAACACTGACCATTTTAGCATCAGTATAATTGACTCATTCAGAGGTGTTTTTTCCCTCTTTCTATGAGAATCACTTTCATTTTCTTAATTTTTTTCCCCTTTTTGCCATTTTTCTGGTGTGTTGTTTTGTTAAAGTGAACCATTCCAGGAGCTTCCCTGCACCTCTCTAATCCTTCTCTTGTCACAATTAGACAAGCAGTAAGATTACCTTCCCTAGAGCAGTTTTAGCACTTGCCATGCGTTGGTCCTACTGATCCACATCGCTTTTCGTAATTATAGAGAAGGAAATGTTAGCACAGTTCAGCTTCCTACAGACCATTGATCTGGGTCATTAACAGAATACAAAACATCTGGAGAGAAACAGAGGTTATTTCACACAGTGGTAACAGATCTTGGCTTTCAAGGGAGTTTTTGTATCAGTGGATTCTTCCTGAGCTCCCAATTAAGTTATTTTTCTTGTAAAGCCTGCCCACACAACTTGAAGCTGAGTTCAAGAAGTTTTCATTTGCTAATGCAGAAGCACATACTAACTTCCAACAAGCAACTGTTCAGCAGTTAGGCCAGCAAAGAGTTAGGAGGTCAGTGGTGCTGAGCATTTGTAGCTGATGCTTGGGGATATAAGAGGCTTTCCTTCCAGTTTGGCACTGATTATATCTGCAGAAGGTGGGGACACCAATTGCAAATGATGGATTATCTATAAAATTGGCTTTCCTTGGGAGCAATCCCTCCTCTGTGGTGAGTAATACAAATAATATTTTTCTGGTCAGGTTGCATGTATTGATCGTTAATATAAAATGAAGATAATTTTTGTGAAAAGTGCACTAAAATCAATGAATGTACATCACATCCTGGTAATCCTCTTCTGACAGCCTGTGTTTTGTTGTGTTCACTGTATTTTCCTCCTTCTGAAGCACGTTCACCAACCAGAGCCTCTTCAGTGTTCGCATCGCAAGTATCTTGCAACCATGCATCTCCTCCTTCTCCAAGGCTTTTTATTCCACTTAGTGTCCATTTATGTCTTGGCAAATTAATCCTTACATATTAAATAACGTGGCACTCGCATAATGAATGGCATTCTGTACGGGAGGTGACAAGATGATCATGGGGTGTTGAAAGTTGACTGTATTGCTGGATAATCTTCAGTATTCTGCCCCAAACATAAGCATGTTCATAATGAACCATTTACTTTCCCTTTGCATTTTTGTTCGTGGCATACAGACATGAAGCAAATGGTGGAAGGAAAAGTAACCATACCAGACTGTTTCAGTCCTCTTCAGAACCGCTTGCTAGGGTCTGAGGTGTAAGACTACACTGGACTTATTCGTGTTCCATAGAACTGAGAAAGAGGGGGGTTCTGCGGTCATACATGCCACCAGTGTTGTCAAGTTCTCAGCATCTCTCAAAAGACATGATCACCCATTCATTCTCTGCTCTAAATATCCTTATGAATGTATACATGGGAGTCTTACGTAGCCTGCTTCCATCTGGATGGCAGTGCTGTTCCTCAGGGACCCCAGGGTGTGGGCTGCCAGTCCTGAAGCTGAAGCAGTGGTTGGGTAGGAGATCTGGTGTCTCCTTGCTTCTTGTGACCCACTCCAGCTCTGAGCTCCCTGGGCTGCTCTGCCCCAGGACAGGGAAGCCTCATACCAACAAAGGACTTTGTATGTGCATCTTTTGAACTCCTTAGAATGTGTGTTTGGGGAGAGAAAGTAATAGGAAGGGAGAGGAAAAGAGTTTACAGAATTTCCACATTCATGAGGAGAACTCTGTTTTTTCTTCCTTTTTTAATGTAGGTAGTCTGTAATGCCCAAACCAGAAATGCATGTTTCTCACAGCATGGACTCTGACTTTATTTTGGTGCCCAGTCTGACAAGCTGGCATTGCTCACTTAGCAGGAGTGACAATAACCTGGAGGTACAGCCCTCTCCGCTGTGTACGTGTTGTCAGTTCGGGTTATTCACATCCCGTGATGGTGTTGAATTTGCCCTTCTGGTGCAGGCAGAGATCCTCTTTGTAGCTGGAGAGGCGGCAGAGTCACTGGAGTTTAACCAGGAGGCCCTCTCAAAGTCCCTATGGCTGGTTTAATTATGGCTTGCTGCTTTTTCATTGTGTTTGACATTTTGGAGGCTAAGCCTCATTACATGCAGGCAGTCTCCAGCATCAGGCTGGGAAATGAGTTCTGTGAGGTGGAGAGCTCTGAAAGAAGTGAAGAAGAGTGACCGCAACATTAAAATGAGATTTGAGGCAGATTTTTGTCCTGTGATGTAATCTTGTGCAGTATCTGTTCAAAACAAGAAACCAGAGACCTGAACAATAAGGGCAGAAGTGAGCCCTCTGTACTGGGCTTTGAGACACAGAGAAGTATTTGGTTCACAGTGGTGTTTTTTATGCTCGGTTTATAAATACCCTTTTTAATGTAGCAACATTGATAATTGCAAGGCCAATTCTGCTTTCGTGATTTTTGTGGTTTTAAATCTAGCTCCCTTTCTATTTCCCCATGCTCTATAAAAGCACTTTAATGCTGATAATGAACTGGCTACTACAACAAACTCCAGTACCCACGGGTTAAGGGAAGACTACAGCACGACTTGGCTCCCCTACGTTAAAAAGCTATACCTCTTAGAAGTCCTAGAGCAAGCAAGCAGGGACACTGTGTAAGTATTTGCTACTATATTAACATATCAGTGACAAATTAGATTTCATTTGCAAGCTCAGTTTCTGCCTTTCTGTGCCTGTTAATGAAGGTGATACATCTTCTGAGAATGTCAGCCTGTGGTTCCAAAATAGAGTAAATGCTTAATAATGTCACCAGAGAGTTAAACATTAGCACTTGGTGACAGTTTTGGCATTAAGTGTTCTCATTAAAGGCAGTTTCTCCCTTGTTTACAGGGAATAGGGTTAGAAATGCTGAGGCAGCAAGATCTGAGGTTCTGTCTTCAAAGTGACTTTGGTCCCCAGACCCATATTTAAATGATGTGGCAATGCTGGAAGGACGTGAGCAAACCAAGCCTGTATCCAGGAATGGGATGGGAAATGCCACTTCTTGTCTTTATTCAGTTGGTGCTCAGAAAGCTCTATCAAAGATCTGTTTGTACCAGCAGCAAACAGTCACTGGCTTAAGGAGGGGGTACCTGTGTCTAGAAAAACCTGCACCTTAAATGGCTTAGAGCATGTTGGGCAGATGGAAGATGGAAAATAGTCTTCTAGGCATGGAAAGCTGAGGCACAGCACATTTTGCCTATGCTGATGGAGATGTCTGGAAAAACTGTCTTCATTTGTGCAGCTGGGGAGTTTGTTCACAAGACTCTGCTGCTACCCTGAACCTGTTCTGAAAATCCATTGCCAGTAGGTTACTCTGACTGATCTCCTTTACACAACACTTTGGTTATGACCAGCTTTATAGTTTGTGGGTGTTTAATGAAACTATATACGAAGTGAAAGTGTGAGGAGAGAGATTTGCTGCCCGAGTCAGTTAAGAAAGAGGCCAGAGAAGATCAATAGCGATACACAACTTCTCTGCAAAGCCAGAGGCAAATCCAGAGATGTGGATTTGGGGATTAGGTGAGCGATTATAATAATCCCTTCTGCTGAAGACTCAATGTGAAAAAGCCATCTTGGTCTTCCATGTGAAATATGGTGTGCCTTAAGTCCACAGCTGAGGGTCCACATAATGGTAATTATGGTAACTGGAAGGTAATACATGTAAATGAAGAAAACCCATAATCACTTTAAAGACTAAGTCTTTATTACTAAAGAATTACAAGTTATTTAGTTCTCATGTAACAACCACAAAGAGCAAACTAGGATTTGTGTCTGGAATTAGACAAGCATTTGACTTATTTCCTATTCCAGGAGGAAAAAAAAAATACCTTTTCCTTAACTAAGATGATTTTGAAAGGTTAAAGTGTGAAAGAAATAGGAGTATTGAATGCATGTTACGAAAAACTAAATGAGAACCATGTTTTAAAAGGGGTCTCACAGTGTAAGGTCCAGTGCTAAACTATCTTGAAGAAAGCAGAGGCAGTGCCCAGTCTGGGGAAGACATGGCACACCAGACTGACCACAGCTGTGTCACGGGGAGCTGGTAAATCAAATTGAAGCGATTCTACAGAACCCTATCAAAATGACTTCTTTTCCCTTATTAGACTGAAATACTTAGAGGAAATTGAAACTTCTCTTGGGAAACTGATAGAACTGTAACTTCCCTCCAAAAGATGCCAAGGGAAAACCCTCAAAGGAAGAGAATTAACTCCTGTGGTTAGGAACATCATTGAGACTTCCAATATATTGAGCTAGTAGTTACTTCTCCTGTAAAAATCTATTCTGAAATGTATCCTGCAAGAAACAATTGTAAGTGGAGAGTAGGTAATATTTTGGCTTCATCAAGAGGATAATTTTAGATGACTCATAAAACAATTGGCCATACTGCAATAAACAGAGCTTGGAAAAATGACAAAGATACTTCCTTGGTATCCCCTCCCCAAAGGTTCAGGGAATACATCTTCAAAACATCCTTTAGAAATGCAAGTGAAATTAAAAGATACCATCTGCTGAAATCTCAGGATGGTGTGGAATGATGGAAGGGGGATGTGATCTCCGAATGCTTCAGCCTTGTAGGGAAGAAAGAATCATATGAGCATCTGATATTTTCACTTTGGAGCTAGGTCGTTGTCCCAAATACTGCTGAAAACTGAACGGGTTAAAGTTAACTGTGTGCAGGAAACAGAATGCATTTGCTGGTGTTGGGAGTCCAGTCTCACTGCTCTGAAGTCTGAAATCTTCAAGCTGCAAGAGTGCGCAATGAGATGCCTTTGGCTGCTCCATCCAGCCCCGAGTCTTCTCCATGTTTGAGGTCCCCATCACTCCCCAGAAAGCAGCAGGCAGGCACATGAACATTTTGGGTTTGCTTCCCTTTGTTTTTAATCCGACTGCATAGAGTTGTATTGATCTTTCTTGCTAGATCTGCTTTTATCTATTTCCTTTTGCTGACTCTTTGGAATAAGGTTCTTGGCTTTTCCAGCATCAGTTTAATCTGACAGATGGCAGCTCTCAATACTGTGGATCAGAGCTTCCCTGTCAGGACAAGAGGAGTCTGCACACACAGAAATCCTAGTACAAAGGTGCAAGAGAAAAGAGAAGGAAGGGAAAGTAAAGAGAAAGGAAAAATTCTCTTTAAAACAAACTACAAGAGGATAAACTCTACTTAAGTTCAGGCTATGCAGCAAAATATACTTGTGACTGTGATGGTGAATAAAAGCCCATTTTGAAAACTGGGAAACCTATTTTTCCTACCTCAGGATATGGAGAAGAAAAGTGATGCCAGGAGTTGTTTGGGTACCGTAGTATCCCCGCTTCAGATTACCTTCAGTAACCTACTGACTTACAGTCAGTGTTTTCAGTGAGGACTGGCTCTAGAGAGTAATAATCCAAATAGCAATTACACATTTGATTTGCTGAGGTGACCAAAATAAATGCTGTATTTTTAAAACTAATAGGCTACCTGTCAGTAAATTTTTCCTAGATATGTGCCATGAGTTTCGCTGTATACACTGCAGTAGTCTCTAGTTTTAAATGGGTTTTAATAGATTTCAGATCAACACAGTGTACATCAATGTGTAGAATCCCAGCCTGGTTTGTGTTGGAAGAGATCTTAAAGCTCATCCAGTTCAACCCCTGCCAGAGGCAGGGACCCCTTCCACTGGAGCAGCTTGCTCCAAGCCCCTGTGTCCAACCTGGCCTTGAGCACTGCCAGGGATGGGGCAGCCACAGCTTCTCTGGGCACCCTGTGCCAGCCCCTCAGCACCCTCACAGGGAAGAGCTTCTGCCTAAGAGCTCAGCTCAGTCTCCCCTCGGGCAGGTTCAAGCCATTCCCCTTGGCCTGTCCCTACAGGCCCTTGTCCCAAGCCCCTCTCCAGGTTTCCTGCAGCCCCTTTAGGCACTGGAGCTGCTGTCAGGTCTCCCCTTCAGGAGCCTTCTCTTCTCCAGGCTGCCCCAGCCCAGCTCTCTCAGCCTGGCTCCAGAGCAGGGCTGCTCCAGCCCTCGCAGCACCTCTGCGGCCTCCTCTGGACTCACTCAGAATGCGTGATGGTTTCTCATAATGTCGTTACAAATACTAAGAATATCTGCAGGACCTTAGCAGCATTTGCTTTCCTGTAGCTATTCTCATTTGTTTTCTCCATATAAAGGTTGAGAATGAAGACAGTTCTAATGTTACCTAAATACACAGACATCTGTGGATATTAGACTTTTTAATAGCACACATCTGTCTCCATTGAAAAAGCTAAATAGTTTCTCTGCAATGCTTAGTTCAGCCAAACTGACCTAACCTACAAACTCATTGCATTCTTACAAGTATGAATATCAACTGTCTGCTAAATGGGGCATTGCTCCAGGAACTCAGCAAGATGCTGATACCCATTTTTAATTCATTAATTGAATTAACGTTCTTGAATTAATCTTAATTCTCCTGCTGTTCCCTACTAGGATTATACGTTGACTCATCTGGTTCACCAGATCTTGATCAGCTAGCAGGGTGAGTTAGTGCAGAGTTGAGTATCTTGAAGATTAATAAAAAGCACACACATCCCGCGTCCACGTGCAAAGCACTTGCAGTGAAAATGGATGTGAGGAAAATCAAGCATTGGGAAAATAAAGCAGTCTAGTGCTCAAAACAGCAGAGCTTGCTGAAAAACTGTCTGCTCTGAAATGGACATAAACCAAACCAAACCCCTCCCAATGATACTAGTGTCATCAGTTGCTTTAGTTAAATAAATATATTCCATTTTCCCCCTCTCCTCCACTGAAGTGGAGCTTCAGAGGACGAGCTGCTTTGAAATGAGTAATTGAACCATTTCATGTTCACTCGCATAACACAGAAACAGGAATCTTTTTCCTAAACAAAACGCTTGAGTTTAAGTTTTGTCTCCTGCAAATCCATAAATCTGGAGCAGGTTTAGATTCAGAGACAGGGGCTTGTTTCAGTGAAAAAAACATTCCATCGGGAACCCTTGAACAGGGTCCAAAGGCAGCTTCAGTGTGTTACTGAAGAAATGCCATAAATGGTACAACATAATCCTGAAGTAAAATGTAAATGACAGCCCTGAAGCAGGAAACAAGACTGAGTTACAATTAGAAAACTAGGCTGTTGATACCCTGATCCTCCAACAATGCAAGAAAATTGCAGTCAGTCTCCAGTTTCACACATCGTTGGAAGCAAAAACACAGAGCAGGTAAGAAACACACATGTGCAAGTGCACTGTAATGAAAGCTGGAAGGAGCAGTGAGACAGTTGTCCAAAACCAACTAAAATTGAGATCCTGTTGATTTGCATATGTCTGAGTCATTTTCTTAGTTGATAATGGCCAATAGTCATCTATAAATCTCTTACTGTTAACACTTTAAATATAATGGTATTTTTCAAGAGGTACCACTCTCAAAACAATCTCTATTCCTTTTTTGTACTGCTTTGGTTTATTGTTTTATACTTATAAAACAGTAAAACATTTATTGGTTTATACCTATATAAGTTTTATCTGCAGTGGAACTGAGAAAAGGATCTGTGAATCAATTCAGATGAAAATGTCTTGAACACGAGCACTATAGTCACTAAAAAACCCAGGGTCCCAGGTCAAGGAGTATTCGTTCCTCTCACAGATCAGAGGGTAGTGCAGGCTGACCTATGCTAGACCATCAGTTGATGTTGGCTTTGACTTCAGGAAACTTGCAAAGTAATGCAAGCATAGACATGTGTATGTGTATGCGTATGTATGTATAAATGCATACATATCTGCTGTCTTAGTGCAGTCTCAAGGGCCATCTCATCACTGAGGCTGCCAACACCGAGGTCAGTAGTGATGTGAGTATCCGTTTGCTGTTTCATCCCTCTCTGCCTCCCATGCTTAGGTAACACTTTGAAGAATTTCTCATCATTGCTGATCTTAACAGAATTGATACATAAAAGGAGAAAAGTCAGGATCCTGCCACTGTTTAGCTGTATTCTGAATTTTGTGTGTTCAGGGTTGACTCAGAGTCGTTCTGCGTCCTCCAAATATCCTGGATTTATTAATGGCAAATCTGGGGGAAGGAAGATGAGAAGTACTGCAATAGCTGGCTTAGAAATGTAACTTTGGATTTGCCAGTTGGAGTGTAGTGTATTTTTGTTAAATATATAATAAAATATACAAACTGTATATACAAAATACACAACTGGACAAGATGAACACTTTTTCTCCTCTAAAAAGACATTATTACAACATCCATTCTCATCTTCAGATATTCAGTGCCACATTTTCTGAATATCTTCAGAGAATTTCAAACTTTGTATGGAGTAAAGGTTGGTTCTTTGTTTTCCTGAAGCATCTTCCTTGACCCTGACCCAATACTGTCTTTATCAAATTGAATATCCATTGTGTTAGGAAAGGAATGTTTTTGCATTGTGTCTTACTTGTAGTGATGGAAGATGAGTTCTGTGTTATCTTGCAGACTTTCAACCCTGTCATACTGTCACATTTTGGAGTAGATTGTCCTGGTATCTCTGGGAGAGCTCTATAAGGCAACTTGATGAAACAGTACTATAGCAATGAGCAATGCTCAGCTGGCTTCCCTGCTGCTGAGCCTCTGCCACAGAGACTTTGATCAGATTTAAAAGGAATTTAGTGCCCTATGGACAGGCACAAAACTCTTCCATTCCTAAAACCTGATTTAAGGGGGGTTGAACACTTCCCACCTGCTTGAAAAGCTGTTGACCTGCTGTTGTCTCTGATGAATGGGACCTTACTAGAGTAACGGTGAAATAAAAGAGGGAGGTTTTGAATTGGGTTGAATATTTCAGAGGGTACATCCTTCACTGCCTGTGCTACCACAAATCATACAGAGTACTTGAATCATACCAAGTGGACAGACGAGGGCAGTAACTTCTTAAATGAACACTGTACTTTTCTGATTACCTAAAAAACCCAATTCAGAGACTTATTAAAGCTAATAATGCACCTGGCTTTATCCAGGAAAGCAAATAACCAGTTGAGAGATTAACAAGCCCTTAAATGTTCTTCTAAATCCGAGTATACAAATCACAGAGATTACTGATCATCACTCTGGATTAGGCAGTGGATTGCAAACAGAAGTCAAAAGATACTTGGTTGGTAGGGTTATGTCAAGAAGAGGAAATTATTCTATTTGATTGATGCACGCAATTAAAACTATCCGAAAGAGCTCAAATTTAATCATAGACAGAGTGAAGGGCTCACAAATGCTCTAAAGAGCATTAATCTGGCATACAAATTATGCAGAAGAAACGCTATGGAGCAGATGTGCTGGTGAAAAACAAGTGTTCCAGTCAGATCTGGTGTCAGAACTGCCCAAACTCCTTACATTATTCACAACCCATCATTCGTGCAGCTCAGTGGATTACAAAAGTTATTGATCAGGTAGTTTATAGTAGTTGGATGGATTTACGGAAACTTGTTTCTTCCCTTCTGTTACTTTGTAGTACGTTGGGGTTTCACAAAATGCAGGGGCATGAAGCTCTGCATTATTTATAATGTGCTTAGCGCTCAGATAGTGAGCTAATGGGGATGGCAGAGTCAGGAGAAGTCTCCAACCTTTACGGTACTGCATTTCATGTCTCCAAAATGAACAGCTTTGCCTGAATAATACGTTGTAGATAATGATTGAAAAGCCAAGCACAGTACCTGGTCATAATACAGATGAATGACTAACAGCTTTCTGGTGGATCGCTATCAAACTCTCTCTTGTTTAAAAAGCAAATCTCCTGTCCCTTGATCTCCCAGTGTTTCAACACAGCAAATCTCTGCCCATGTGGAATTCAGTAGCTTGCTTCCCTGTTGTAGCACAAATCCCTCACTTCTGAGACTGGGCAATGTTGTCTATAATAGGTTGTAAATACTTGAAAGTCAGTTTGGCATCTACAGATGGCCATCAGCTTGATCTTTAGATGTATGGGAGGAAGTTTCCTCTGGGACACAGTAGACACACAGTCCTCTTCAATCCCTGGGCTGAACTTGTTACATGGTGTCAAAGGAGGAACGTGCCGGGGTGGCTGCACTGCATTTGGCATTGCTTGTGAAGCATCACACTGTGTTTTTCCACAGGGATGAGAGATCCGCTTCTAGCAACACTGCAGACAAAACGCAAATCCCCATTCAGAATCTACAGAGATGGGGAATTCCTGCAGCACTCACTGAGATCAAGGAGAGGACAGAAGAGTGGCAAGAAGTCTCATCCAGCTTGCTTGCAGTTGGCCTCTTCTAGAAGCAGAGAGAAAAACACGGCACAGAATGTTCAGCCTGTAAGTGTTCTGACTTGGAATGTGTTTCTGAATCTCCTGGAAGGAACAGGAAAGTTTGAGACTAGAAAGGATGACTGTGATAGTTTACTGTTAACTGTATTCTATAAATGTAGGCTTAACATTTCTGTGCTGTCTCACCACGTCCCAAATCTCCTTAACTTTATCATAACGTTATTTCTGCATTTGGACCATATGTGAAATCAAAAGTAGAAAAATCCCTTTCGAGTGTGGATAAAAACTCAGACTGTGGGAGTGGATGTACAATAACCTTAGCTCTGACTGCGATGTTCCATACGCACCAGTAAAGCATGTGTGTGGCTGTTTGAGCAAGATGTGTGACTGCAAGTGCCAGACAACACTGTTCCCAACAAACCATGGCTGCCTGCTCAGCCAGCGGGTATTGTCACGACGGGATGCTGCAGGGTAATCAAGGCTCATTTCAGTGTAACTTCGGGAAGTTTCCATGTCATCAGCCACATATGCTTGTTGCCTAAAGCTCACATATGCGAACACATAAAATGCCTAATGCTGTAATCCTGTAACATTTGAAAGCTTTCATTTTCTATAGCTACTGCAGGCTGGCAAGATAACGCTGTGGCAGCAACAGGGGAGTATCAGGCCCTGATCTAAGCAGATGAAGAGGGGCTGGAGGAGGGTAATGACTAGAACCAAGGAAATTCTAAGGGTTTATGTTTCTTTTCTGGTTGCTATTACATTGTAATGCTGACCCCTTTTCATCAGTGGCCTAAAAGCAACAAATGTTGCCATGACATGAAGTATTGCGTATTATTTAGGCAATTGATTCCTAGTCCAGAACTGCACCAACCACAAGGAAAATGCAACGTTATGCTCACCCAGCTGGACATGTATCTTGTGACTGGAGCATCTGATTCACAAAGGCTCGTGTTTCAGATTTGGCATCCAGAATTTGAGTTGCTTTCAAAGTGGTTGCAGGAATTAAGCAGAAGTGATTTCTAATAAGGAGCTGCAATTGGTTCCTGCTCCCTGGAAAACTGAAAAAGGCACAAAATCAATCAAAACTCAGTGTAAATTATTCATCTGACTTTACTTTGAGTATAGCAAAAACCCAACCTGGCAGCAGTAAAAGGCCTTTCCTTCTGAGAGGCAGCAGAGCCCAGCTCAGGATCCCAAAAACCAACCCAGGGCTGTAGGAGGCTCTTCTGAGCAGCCTCCTCCAGTCTGTGTCCCTTTATTCCTGCTGCATAAATGTTTGCAGGTTTCCAGGCTCTGCAGGGAATATGTCAGCACATTTAAATGTGAGGAGGAAAGACCTGGTGCAGGTAACACCACTGCTTCACACCCAGTCCTGAGATCCAAGGTACCATTTTGGACTAAGAGAATAATGAGTCTTTCAGATGGACAACTGCTCAAATCCTGGAGCGATGCATTGGTGAGGCAGAGGTGTAATGAACTCCTCAGAGGTGGCTTTTCAGCTGGTGTAAATTGGCACAGCTTCAATGGAGCCCACAGGAAAACCAGCCCTGGCTTTATAGAAATGCACAGTAATGATCTCTCCCTCTTCTGGTGGGAAGCTTTTATCCTCAAAAGCTGTGTTCCACACAGATTATCTGGATCATATTTTCTCTGTTTTAAGATACAGGCTCTGGCCTCTCGATTTAACTGCAACATTTTGTGTCAGAAAAAGGCAGTACTTTCTAAGGGTAGCTCATGCATTGAACTTAGCTGCCAAAGCTACTCACACTGCCTTGTGTAACTGGCTGCTCACAAATCTTTATCTAAAATATAAAGGTAAATAACTATTAAGACCCCTAACCTAAACTGAGGCAGTAAATTATCCCACAAACTGCTTTTACTGCTCCGTTTTGCTGGGATTTACTCAACCTATAAATCAGAGCTGAACAAGAAATTTACAGAATGATGGCCACAAGGATCTTTATGAGGTCTGTAGCCATAAATGTCAAAGCTGAAGAGGCTGAGCCAGTAACCGTCTGAGCTCTCCTCGGTGTCAGATGAGAGGGATTCTGCCTCACCCTTTAAAAGCTTATGTAATTGTTTTGGGGCCAGTTCTTTAAATGCGTGAGCTGGGAGGAGGCTGGTGGGTGCCCAGTGAGCACCCAGTGCTTAGAGCAACCACTTGACACCCACAGGAAAGGCAGGGTTTGGCTTCCTCTTGAGCCCACGTGGCTTGGACTCAGGTGCCCAGGGAAGTGCTGGGAAGCAGGGTTGTAAAAGAAATGCAACTTCCATGGACCAGGAAGAGCAAAGGAAATGATGGTTGAAAGCAGAATTGTGGGAATGTTAGAAGAAATGATGCTTGAATCAGGACTGAAGGTCAGGACGAGGGAGGGAGGCTCTGCTGGACTGAGCCTCCTGCCTCCCAATGAATGTGTGCAGGGATCTTCCTTCCCCCAGACTGTTAAACCTGAGGGAAGCAAACATTTAGGCTGTAAATGATTTGGCACAGCCAGAAGGTTCTGACTCTGAAAGCTGCTGGTTTATGTTTCCGCTCAGTAATCTTGGTTCTCATCCATCATGAATCTGATTAAAATGCATGTCCTGAAGACTGACAGTGATAAACAGCTGGAGCAATAGGGATGGCCTCGTAAAGGGAACTCCAGCTCCCGGGTGCTGCTTCCACCTGCAAGGCAGAGGAAATCTAGGAAATAGATCTACTTCTCTCTCCCTGGCTCCCTGTCCTCCCTGCCACTGGCTGGATGCAGTCATGGAGCAGTGACATACATCCCGGGTGATGTTAGTTACCCACCTCTGGGCCCAGTTCTCAGATCCACACCAGTTCCACACATGTGGTGTGGCTTTTGTCTGAATAAAATGTTGTCATTTCTTTATCTGAGCATGGTACAAACCTATAGAGCAACACTGGCTCAGGAGCTGGATTGAGGATACTTGCAGGTAGGAGTGAGTCCTGCATCTTTCATACACTGCACTGTGCCTGTGTCTTCTGTTCTGGAAGTAGGTCAAGGAGTTTGTTTTCTGGCATTTTCCCTTCTGTATCTGTTAGATCTTTGCAGGGAAACTCCTCTTTAAAGTATGCACCAATTAGAAATCCAAGTTGATTGTACTTATGCTGTGCCAGCATTTGGAGAACAGGGGTTTGGGATTCAATCCTGAACACGCATTTCAGTAAAGTTGCTTGAAGATGAACTTCGGAAAACTCATGTTTTTCCTGGAGCTGGAGTGCCTTGTTCATTATAGCTGCTGCTCTGCAAATGCTGGTTTATTACTTGTGTGTTGCAGTTAAATAAAACCCTATCGTTTATCCCAGTAATAGCAGATACCCAGCCAGTTTATCCAGCAAACATTCTGTAATGCCCACGGAGAGGATAAAATAACCATATTCTCCCATTTATGTACTAGGGTTGGATTTTTCCTCTCAGCACTCTAAATACACTCTCTTCAGAGGGGGACTGTATTCTAGATTTCAGTGAAATTATGGCACTGGCTCTTTGAAACCTGCTTGACACCAGTTTATAGTTGTGTTTGCTGCTAACTTGGAACAGCCTGGACCACGGTTCCTGAGCGTGGGCACAGCCTCCAGATTCTTCTGTGATGCAGGTGTTTATATGTTCGTGTCTCTCCCATGCCATATATCTGCTGTATGATACGAATCACTGTATTGGTGTTAAGCATAAATTTGGTGCATTACTATAGGTAAAGCATGGAAAGCAGTAGCCAGTATTCAGTTTCCTCATGTTCTTCAGTCCTAAATGTAGAAAAGCTACATTTAGGACAGAGTTTTTATATACAGTCTTTCCCTGTACCTGTCTGTCAGGTACTTTTGGCTTTGGTTCTGCATTTTCCCCTTTGTTTGGGTGTTGAAGCCCCTTATGCACCAGCCTATTGACTGTGTGTGATGTCCTGTTTCTGCTGCTGCACTCCCCAACACAGATTGCTCAGAAATCCTGAATGATTCCCTGTACAAAGCCAGCACCGTCAACTCCTGAAACACACTGAAAATAACTCTCTTGTGTTATAAATACTTCTAAAAGCTGTTTTGCCATTTATTTTCCCTGTTTGCTTGTTCCCCTACAGACTTATTGTTTGTTGTCTTCTCCAAGCCACTTCAGGTGGAGCTTTTCCTCTTGCAGTGCAAGTAGCAGTGAGGCAGACACATGCTGTGGTCTCAGCCTCCAGCTCTGTTACAGATTCCTCTGTGAACCTGGTCACATCACTTCATCTTCCAGTGTCCCATTCGTGAGCTGTGAGACGGTACCTGACAGGTGGAAGACTCCTGTTTATCAATCACTGTGCTTTTTACCTTTTCAAACCAAAGTATGTGTTACCTTTGCTAAATTGTAAGCTAGAGTTTATCTGCTGAAAACCAGCAATCATGGTCTAAAATTGCTTGTGACCTTCAAATTCCACTGTAATGCAGTGCAGTGGGATGGGTCAAAACTGCCCCTGGGGTTTGAAGACTTCCCTGTAAATTTAAGTCTCGCGTTCACTTCCTTGGGTCACTTCCTCTTTTCTTCTTGCTTTTGGGGAATGATAGAACTAACGGAAATGGTATCAGGGCATCCTGTGGATCGGAACTGCTGCTGCTGCCACACTGCAGCCTCACTGCTTGGGGCTGTACATCTCTGTTCCACACCATTCCATTCAGAGTGTCCGTGGACACTGGACAGAATGTGGTGGTGTCAGAGGAGAGGTAAGGCCTGACCAGGTCTGTGCTGTGGCTCCCACCTGTAGTGAGTGGAAAATGGTTTCTTGTGGCTGTTCTTTGGCAGTGCTGCACATGGCTCTGGTTGGGTGGTTTGCTGGTTTGCTGCTTTGGTGGGGTTTTGTTGCTTGTGAGAGTTTCACAGAGAGGCTGGAGCCCATCCACGACTGCAGGAGATGGGACTCCTTTACTCTGCCTTACTGCAGTCCCTGCACAGTGGGTCATTGAAGATCCCTCATTGCTTTCTATCCTATCTAAACCCAATTTTACTGATTTTTCAATGTAGCCTTTTTGGGCAGCAGCTGCACAGGAGGCATCACCCTCTCAGCTCCCTCTCTCCTGGACTTCAATGGACTTTCCTTTTTTCAGCACATGCACTGTTTTCAGCAAGAACCGTTCACCTGGCACCCCAGTGCCTGTGCTGGATTGGACCAATTTCAGCTCCCTGAACTGGGGAGCAGCTGTTTGGGCACATGAAGTGGCCAGAGGCTTGGGAGCTCTTGAGGAAGACTCCAGTGCTTACATCAGGGTCTGTCCAGCCCCACCTTCCCCAGGAGAGTTAATTTAACATATGCTGTTTAGGGGGATTCTGAGGAACTTCTAAAGGCTGCTGGGGCTGGGCTGGTATCCTTCTGTTTCTGTGGAAGGGTCAGGACTCCTGTAACAGTCTTTTCCCTGTAAAGACAGACCTGAGTGTTGGCCACTGATCTCTGGCACTGCCTCTGCCGAGGGAATGGGAACGTCCATGTGGACACATCCAGTATGGAGGAGAAACTGAACTGTGGCTCCTCAGACTGAGGTAAGAGTCCGGCTCACCAGTAACCATGGCAACCAGGCTGTCACTGGGAGCATCAAGACTTCACATGATAAAACGTAAAAACCTCAAATTCACTGCAGCATCCATTAGCAGTCCAACACGTTCGAGAGGTGTCCCTCAGTTTTGCTCTACACGGACGTTGACAGCTGTGGCTGTCACTTGTAGGTAGGAGTGTTCTCCTCTGCCCTTTCTGCTCC